CCAACCCACCTTGAAGGGTTAGAAAGGGGGGTCTGAATCTGAGGTCGTCCACAGGCCGCGATTCACCTTTTATAATTGCTCCATGGATCACGGAACTTAAAACGAGCGGCTTCTCGCTCCTAATGTTCCGCCCCCCTGCACTAACTCCTCCCATTTTCTTCCTGCTATTGAACAATCTTTTCTTCTTCACCGTCATTTTTCCTTTGTACATAGTAAAAGTAACGTATGAGGAAAAGAGGTAATGCGTTGCAGGTGCAAAGTTTGCTTGATCACTACATGGACGTGTACGATGTGGTACTAGTGCAGGACCAATCGATGAAAGTGCCCGATACAGTCGTGCAAGCAATTGCGGCCGGTTTCCTGAAACGTCTATAAGATGCACCCATTTGATTGTTAGGAGCTCTTCGCATGTCGCACGGCAAAATTCCACGGTGATTTTTTGCATGATGTCGACGCGCAGTTTTGTCGCGTCAGGTCACGCGTCGCGGCTAGCCAGCCTTATGTGATGTACTTGTCCTTTTATATGTCCTTTTTTGAAGAATTCCGTAGCTCGTATGATCGTCCAATACAGTACCCTCATCAACTATTAATAATGTTCAATTAGTTGTACATACACTATCAAAATTTAATAACAGTCATGTGCCTAGTGATAAACTTTTTTAAGTAGGTATTCTTGCCATTTTCTTCACTTACTGCCATTAACTCGTCCAAATTGCAGTTGTTCAGTGTATAGACGCAGAGCACATAGTGCTAATAATAGAGTGCACTCGCCGTCTGACTCTGTCGAGTTTAGGATTTTTAAAACGGTTGTTCTAGGTGTATACTTTACAGTGTTTTCATAGGTGATCTGTACATTGTCCCGGTCCCACTAGTCGTTTACATTATTGATTCGCTAACTTATCTAGAAATTCACTGATTGATTCTCAGCTTTATTGATTAGGAGGCTGATAAGCATTCGCGCTGTTGACAGATGTAATGTTCGCTGAAATTCTCCACTTGTTTGATGTCATCTGCTTTGGGTATTCATGAATGTGAGCGTGTTTCCAGTGAATAAATCCAGTGTAATTTTGTTTTCAGACATTTTTGCACGGTTTCATGTTTACAATGTGAAATCCGTCGGGTCGAGTTGTAACGTAAAGTACAAGCGTCGAATTCTCGTGACATAGACGCGCTATTCCGAGATATTAAATAAAAGAGCAAGAACATGTAAGAATTGGCATTGGCAAATCTCTTCTTGTGACGCGCCAGCCTCTGTCAAACAGGTTGGGCAAAAATTACGGGAACAAGATAAGACTATTTTCAAACCAATTCGTCAGAAGACACAGGTGGCAGCAACAAATATTTATGAGTAGTCATCAACAGAATGCACATCAACTTCTCGAATGCAGCTTCGCTAACACTATGAGCGAGTTTTCCGGGACTCGTTGTGCGTGTTCTGTAGGGGTAGCTTCGACTTTAAGCCAGCATTGTCTTCAAGTCATTGATGCTCAGGTGATACTCACAGCAGGCCATCGTCTTTAGCAAGCTCCATGCAGAATAAAGCATTGATTAAAGGCGAGCCTCGGGAGAAAACCGGTGCCAGGAGCGCTACTAATGATGACTGAGACCTGCGGGATCGGCCGAAGTGAAAGAAAGCCAAAAGAGAAATCTTATGGAAACCCTAAACCAAAGACCTTAATCTTCAAGAAATCGATGTGGAACGGATGGCGAGGCAGGCGGTCAAAGAAGACAAAACACGCGAGAGATCACGCTGTTCGAGAGAGCACACCGACATCGAGGTGGGTGGGAAGCGCTGGAACGGGGTTGATGGTTGCAAGTCCGTAGGTATCAGCGCTCTGACCGCGCAACGTTTGCGGCGAAGCTGGAGTAATCTAGATAGGTAGGGAAATTCGCGATTTCTTTTGTTGTAGCCTCCCGCCAATGAACAGCCGCGGAAAGAATGGAAATTTCGTTTAGAAACGAGAATTCGATCAGAGAACTGACACTGGACTGTGAGCGTGGTTGGCAGCGTTAGGTGCCAATATTCGCAACACTGCAACCTGAAAGAACTAGTATTTCGCCGAAAATCAGAAAACGAGGATATAATTTGAACAAATCAAGTTTCGAGCTGGATAAATAACGGTGATCACGAAGCGAATCCATCTTGTGGAGAAGTTACCCCCTTTGAAACTCGTCGCTATGCCAATGCACATTCAACATCGCCACTAGAGATCTGAATGCGGAAATGATCTGATCGCGAATATAGTCATTTCCAGCCTTTCCACATATAGGGTGATACTAGCGCTTTTTGAGTCGAATGGTGCAGTACACCTAATTATACATTACATCTAATTACACCTAATTATTATGCATTTTCATGAGCTCTTCCTTCACTCATAATGATCAAAGCGAAGTTTAGTGGTTATTGCAGGGGTTAGAGGCTACGTATGAACTATACCTTCAGTTCCTCCCTAGGCCTACAGGTCTTTGCAGGTCACCACGATCGGTAGGTCGGAATTGTATAAACGCAAAGTTAATCATCAACGTAGCAGTGAGTTGTCCTTTCAGGTCATTGGAAACGCAAAATATATCTTTGAAGTTCATTGATTTCAAACATAGGCCGAATGCGTGGCGCATGCCAGGAACTTGGAAAATAAGACCGGATCATGAAAAAATAGAACTTTATTTTCTACATTATGGAATTATACATGGATGAATGAAATAAATAAGAACCTGTGATGAATCAAGAATGTCGTAAAAAACATTTTAATGGAAAAAAGTGAAATGAGGGAGGATTTACGACAATTGGAAAAAATGAAAAAGAAAAAACAACCCCAAACTAGGGATTTCTTCTGTATCGTATCACTTGTAGAAACGTTCACGACACGTTTTTGAATTAAAACCATGCTTTAGCACTTCTTGCGGAAAAACTTACCCGTCGAGTTTTTAGCGCCTTCAGTTCCAGCGCTCGCTTTAGAGTGCTGCAACGTCACATCTCTGTCGTTCAGTAGTGTGCTCGGTCGCGCTGTCGTCTTCTCTAATCAGCTACCCATGTCCACAGCTAATCACTATTGTTAGTATTAGAACCTCCAGCCAGCGTCTATCCCAGATTAGATCTGTTCCAGCTTGCGCTTTTGTTAAACCCTGGTGCCCACGTCAACTTTACGTCTGCTTTTTTTGAAAGACAAGAGTAATAAAACGCCCGTTGTTCAGGAAGTTTTGAGAATGCTCCTAATACTGTGCTTCTGCTCACAACGCAGCAGTTGTTAGAGTTTGTAGGGACAACGCAATGGAGCCTACGACAGCATTATAGAGCTTTGAAAGCGGTGATAAGCCCCGTAGAGGAATTGCAACTGCGTTCTGAAAGAACTGTTTTTCGTGCTTCGAATTAGAGGCACACTCTGGCATTAAAGCTCCGGATAAATCCATCCTTTCGTATTCGCGAAGGTTACCGATGCGTTCATACGGCTTTAAGGTGAACAACAGAGCGCTAAAACCTTCTCGGAACTTTCAATTACCGGCTATGAGTGGTAGCCTATCTACTGGTGATTTATTTGGCTTTTTTTCTCACTTTCAGCCCACTTAGCTCCATTCACTAATGACCCTTACGCACCAACTTTATCGTGAGGCGCTTCTTTGTATCCTCACAAACCGATTTCGCTTTCCTGATTCCGACCATCGTATACTCCTCCTAGAATATATCTATTAGCTACTCAGAATGCAATTGATTCTTCTTGAACCTTAGAAAAGGGTCTCATTTTCTCCCTGAGCTGAACTGGGCGAAAGGTAGTGAATGTCTGGCATACCACAGTTCCATCCAGGACCAGAATATGTCGAGATGAAGGGGTGGATTTAATAGTACCGAAAAATCTATGCCTTAAAGTCTGCTTGCAGTTTCCAAAACTTCCAGGGTTCTATTCAATAGTAGAATGTCAGACGCATTCTGAAGGAATTGATCACTTAAGATGTGCCTTCCTTTTAGTCCTACTGAGGAGACGAATTCTATTGAAAAACTCCGGAACCAACACTAATCTCTCACGGGAGCGCGACCCGAGATAGTTGTGACTATGAGCGATACCATTTCGAGTGAGTAGAACAATTTGATCAGACAGTACAGCAAAAATCGCAAGGAGCTCTGAGAGCCTTCACTTCCAGAAACTTTGGATTAACATTATTCAGGGTATTTTTTTCGTTTTCATTCGATTACTAACGTCTTGAGATAGCATGATAGCAAAGCAACGCTTTTTAGCACCCCTCCCCCCCCCCAAGACAACAGAGGTAATAAGATCCTTATAATGTTCTGGTTCCCTTGCTTTTACGACTAACTTCCGACTGCTTCCACTCGTTACCATACTGTGCCACCTCATTAACATCACATTTGCCTCCAAGGCAGAGAATTCCTTCGGCATTAACCGACATTACACTGCAGGAAGAAACTGTGGCTCCTTGGAAGAGCAGGATGCCCTTTTGACTTAACGCACTATTACCTGAAGGTTATGCTTGCGTTTCAATAACGAACCAGAGCTGTCTTTTCATTGTAAAAGAATGTGCGAGCTTTTTTGTCCTGGAAGATGTCCACGCTATCATGGTACTGATATCCATCTACGCTATCACTCAACTTAGCGGTTCTTTTCGTGGGAGCTAAACACCTTCATTTCGTTGCGAGGCACGATGTACGAATAGAGTATTATCAGTATCAGGAAGATGTTCCAGATTAATGGTGGAAACAAGCGCTGATCGTGTGGCTTGGGGCGTGGCTATCGGATGTCTCGTTATTGTCATGGGTGGAGCAGGGTTGGTGGCGAAGCTTCATGCGGATCTACTGGAACTCAATGAAATAGCTGAAGTTGAAATTGTCAATTTTCAAGTGAGTTCCGATCTCGACTGCTATTATGAAGTAACTTAACTTCTTTGGCGGGCGGAAGTGGTGTAGTAGTGAGTGGCGCTGCTTACCACGGTCGGAGGATCGAATCCCGGGTGATCCCAGAACCAGATTGTTCGACCGCTAATGTTTTAACCTTCAGTTATCCTTTACCTTCTTTGACACAACTTGCAATTTACTTTGAATGAATAGT